CTTCCTCCATCAACCGGCAAAGTGAGAGAAACTTAGGGAAAATGAAAGGTAGAGATCTGCTCCCAGAACCTATTGCTGCTTCTGAGATACCAGTGTCTGGGAATAAGACTAGCTGGTGCCTCTGGGGAGGGACAGTGCCATTATAATAACAATTCCAACTGGAGGAGGCACACACAGGGGACACTTCCTGTGTGCTGGGCATTCTGCTGGGCATTTCACTGAAGCTTTACAGATTATATCACAATGGTCTTATGAGAGAGGTACAATTACTCTCAATTTACAAATAAGGAAACTGAGCAAAATTTTCATGACCACTAGTAGATCACATTTTCTACTCCAGCTGGAAGTGTAGACAGTGACTTATACATTTAACTGTGCTGCAAATGTTTGAAGGCAACCTCTGGAATTCATCCCAGTAACATCAGCAATGTGGAAGTGGTCAGGGCAGGAGCCCACTGCAACAAAGTCCAAGTGACGAAGTCCCTGCTTCTGCGTCATTGCTTCATCAGGGAAACCGTCCACCTTCACTTTCATCCCCACCTGTATTGCTTACTCCAGTCTCAGGATTCGTTCCAATCTTTAGGCCAGGCACTCACAGATAATTCAGTTGTCCCTTGTAGAGCCACACTGAAAGATAGAAGGAAAATCTGCCTGGACCCAAAAGCTCCCAGAATCCACAAGATAGTCCAGAAAATGTTGGAGGGTGATGGGTCAGCTGCTTAATCTCTTCACTTTCTGCTAAACCTGTTTACCTCCCAGGAAGGGCAGAATTTTAAAACCTTGCCTTTCTAGAATTCTTATTTTATCCAAGATGCCTACTCTTACTGTAATAAAATTTAGATATGTTTCCACTCTGTCTCAAAAATCACATTTTATTCTGAGAAGGGTGGTTAAAAGATACAAAGAAGATGAAAATAAGCAAGACTAGTTTCAACATAGTTTGTGGTTCACTCCCTAATTCCTGGCTAACCATTGCTTGGTGCTTTGCTCTCTTTATTTGAGAATCTCCTTCCAAACACACTTTTGTTGATTTTTCTTGCTCAACTCTACCCTTAGACTAGACATGCTCATGACTTAACAGATTTTATAATGTTCAGTGATATAAAAACTCACACAGAGCCCAGCATAGAATATATGCTCAATAAATTTTTGTTAAACTATTTAGGGATGTAATAGAATTTTCCAGTGTGCTAGGATGTCTTGTTTACAATATTCTCTTTTTTTTTCTGTTTATTTTAGACTTCCAATGCTGAAATAATAAAGTTTTTGAATGTAAATTTTGTAAGTTGTGATTATTTACTTTAAAGTGACTATACTTATCACTGGCAGAGTAAAAATATGTAAGAAAACATATCAAGATATTCTATAAGAAAACTATGGTATTTTCTGGAACAACAACAAAAAAGTTCAAATAAATTAAATAAAATGGTTCAAATAAAAAAGTCCAAATAAAGTTCAAATAAATTTAAAAACTTGTCCCAATATCAGATTACTTAGTAGGTGACAGAGTGGGAATTTGGAACTCTGCTCTCAACACTGCACCACGCCACTTTTCTCAACTGTTCTTCCTCGAATGACAAGATTACATTACATGTAACATAGTATTATTGGCACACAAAATAGGACCTAAACATAAATAGCATACTGTATATGCTGTAATGATTAAAGGAGAAGAAATAAGTTCACCTACTTCAACTGGTACATGGACTTTGTGGAAGTACTCATGTACTAAGCATGTAGTTTACAACTTTTGTGCTACTAAGGAATGCGTTAATGATCTCACCAGTATAGGCTCAATACGTTAAAATGTTTTGTCTATAAAATAAATGTATATATCACATAATAGCCAAAACTACACATAAATAAACATGTAATAAAGCAGTAAATGGAAACTGCAATTCTTCTCCTTAGTTTTTCTCCAATTATTCAAAGTAGCTCAGGTATCTCACTCATAACTCTAGTGGTTTACCACTGAAATCTGTCAAGGCCAGCTCCTGAGACATAACACAGTATTGGCACTATGTTTATACTTCATGAGATGCAGGTGTCTCTTATTTTTGTGTGCAGTTATCAAGTTATGCTACTTTGTTGCAGAGAAAGGGTAGTTTATTTGCCGCTTGCTGCTGCCTGAATTCCTTTATTCTGCAAATATTGAAATCTGGGGGTAAGGTTGTACAAACCCACTGTGCCGCTCATTCAATATAAAACCATCTCTTTTATTTATTCTCTCTGCTGTTGAGTTAGAAAGAGCTTCAAGTTTCTCTTCCATGAAAATGTATGAATTACAATATGTTCTGTGATGGCCATTGAGTCATATACCAGATGTTTAAAAATAAAGTCACATTTTGCCTAACGATGAGGATACGCTCTGCAAAGTTCGTCACTAGGCAATTGTTTTCATTGTGTGAACATCATAGACTGTATTTAAACAAACCTGGTATAGCCAACTATACACCTGGGCCATATGGGATAGCCTGTTGCTCCTAAGCTACAAATCTGTACAGTATGTTACGGTACTGAATACTGCAGGCAATTGTAACACAATGATAGGTCCTTGTGTGCCTAAACGTATTCAAACATAGAAAAGATACAGGAGAAGTGTGGTCAGATACAAAATGGTACACCTGTAGAGAGCACTTACCATGAATAGACCTTGGAGAACTGGAAGTTGCTCTGAGTGACTCAGTGAGTGAGTGGCGAGTGAATGTGAAGGTCCAGGACATTACTCTCTCATCCTGGAGGCTGTAAAAACACTGTACACTTAAGCTACACTAAGTTTATAGGAAGTATTTTTCTATATTCAATGATAAATTAACCTTAGCTTACTGTAATGTTTTTATTTTATAAATGTGTTACTTTTCTTTTTTCACTGTTTTATAATAATTATATAGAACACAAACACATTGTACTGCTGTACAAATATACTTTTTCTTTTCTAACCTCATTCTATAAGCTTTTTTATTTTTAATTTTTTTACCTTTTAAACTTCGTTGTTGAAAACTAAGACACAAATATACAAATTTGCCTACACAAGGTGAGAATCATTGATCACTGTCTTTCACATTCATTTCTTGTCTCATGGGCAACAACACACATCAAGTGGTCATCTTCTAAGGTAACAATGCCTTCTTCTGGAATATTTTCTGAAGGGCCTGCTGGAGGCTGATTCACAGTTAACTTTTCTTCCATTAGTAGTAGAAAGAATTCACTCTAAAATGATGATTGAAAAGTATGATATAGTAAATACACAAATCAGAAACTTATTTATTATAATTATAAATGTTTATGTACTGTATGTAATTCTATGTGCTATACTTTTATGCAATTGGAAGCACAGTAGCTTTGTTTATACCAGCATTACCACAAACACTGAAGAATATGTTGGTTTGCTATGATTTTACAACAGCTACTGTGTCACAAGGCAATGGTAATTTTTTACCTTCTCTACGATCTTATGAGATCATCATCATATATACAGTCTATTATTACTGCTGAAAACATTGTTATGTGATGCATGTAAGTCACAGAGAATTGCTATTGAAGAGATAATTATCTGATGGGAGAGGCAGACAAGTGGAAAAACAATTGCAACCATATGTGACACGTGTCAGTACAGATGTATGATCCAATTGTATGTTCTCATCGCTCCAATTGAATAGACATATGAGCACGTCAAAGCCTCATCATCATCATTTTCAACACATTATCTTCATTATTGTAGCTACTTTGCATTGAGTCCCTACTGGTACATTGAAATAGTGATAAACGTTATGATCTCTAGCTTCACAGTGTTTTCCGTTTAAGAAACAAAGCCATTTTAAAGACATAAATACACAGATATGTATAAATTATATATATATATATATATATATATATATGTCTACAATGTTTATGTCTGTTTGTGTATTCTGTGAGAAATAGGAAGAACAGAGTTCAGCAAAACAGAACAAGGGAACATGATTACACATAGTTGTCAGGGAAGGCCTGTATGAGAAAGTGATATTTAAGCTGATACCAGAAATATGAATAGGTCTAAACCCACCAAATAGGTGGGTGTTGCGAGGGTAAGAGAAAGAATTGCATATTCCTACAAATATCCAGGCTTGCTGACCATTAGAATGTCAGCTAGTTCCATGCAGTGGGTCCCTGACACCCTTTGCCACTGTTAATCAGTGTGACAGGGAACTTCTGGCTTTGCGTTAAGGGTGTACCTTGCCCTGATCAAGAGCCAAAGTCATTCTTTTTCAGAGAAGGGTCCCATTCTTTTTCAGAGACGGTCCCTATGGATCTCTTCCCCTTTCCTGTGTGGGATTCTGTTGCATCCGCTCCACCCTCACCTCCCAGATGCCCTGAGTCCTCCTGCAGAAAGCATCACTGCTTTCTGTCAATAGTGCAGACCATCTCACCCTGTCACTGGTACTGACTGAAGACACAGCAGACTCTGGGAGATGTGGCCTGGCAAACTCTCTTGTCCTCTCTTCTGGGCAATTATTTAGGATGGAAAGAACGAAGAAACAGCCAGGCACTACGGTTTTTTTTTTTTTAAAGAATGCATTCAAATATTACTTCTGAAATTTTTCTAAAAGTAAAAGTAACGGGAAAATAGACCTTGCATCCTACAGTATACCAGGGATTGTTGGTGGAGCCTGGTTAATCCCATCCAGAGACTAGTAAGTTTTCCACATTCAGGGAAATTCAGAAGAGTCATGGCCTAGAGACCAAATTCAACTTATTAGTAGTAGAAAACAATTGCAGATAACATACCCTTCACACTCACAGCCGCCAAACTCAATAGTAATCAACACTGAAGTCAGGAGCATATGGGCAGTTCTTGAGTTGGGAAGGATACAAGAACTGTCTGGGTCCGGAAGCCACCTGCTGTGTAAGGTGAGTGGAGAGGATTCTACTATGAAACAACACAGAAAACACTTCTCTTCTAAGATGCAAGTACTGTTTCTAACTCCACAAATGTAAGTATATATACACATTAAGGTTTGAGGTATGCATCCTTCTACCAGCACCCAGTCAAGGCAGCTGCCCGGAGGAGTCTTGTGTATTGTAATCTTGGCTGGCCAGAGTCTGAGCCTTCACAGCAGTGTCTTAGCTTCTGCACTACAGTTCCTCAGTGTCCACCCCAGGCTTCCGGACTGGAAGGACGGGGGCGGGGAATAAAAGTTGCTGGTAAGGCCCAGAAGTTACTACCTGCAGAACCCCAGCCCGACTTTCCCTGCGCCCTGGGATCCTGCTGAAACCTCCGCGACAACATGAGCTCCGCAGCAGCGTCCCGCGACTCCCACCCGGGGCTGCTGCTCTTGGGGTTGCTGCTCCTGCCAGCTGTGGTCGCCTTCGCCAGCGGTGAGAGCAGAAGCCAGGCTGTGAGGGCCGGCAGCGGCGAGGGGGGTCCGGGAATCCCTGGGGCCGGGGAGGAGTCCTCCAGGCTACTGATAGCGGCTACACTTAGCGCGTGCGTGCCGAGTGTGCGGGCACCGTGCCAGGCGCTGCATGTGCACCTCGCCACCTGGTCAGCACAACTTCTCTCCGAGGGAAGTATGATTTATGGCTAAGGAGAAGAAGGCTGGAGGTAGTGGAAAAGGTCCCTAAAGTACCTCTGGCCATGACCTCCTCCTCTTTCCCTCCCCCTCCCCCCTCCCCTCCCCGCCCAGCTGAAGCTGAAGAAGGAGATGGGGACCTGCAGTGCCTGTGTGTGAAGACCACTTCCCAGGTCCGTCCCAGGCACATCACCAGCCTGGAGGTGATCAAGGCCGGACCCCATTGCCCCACTGTCCAACTGATGTGAGTCCTTACACTGCATCAGTCAGTGCCCCCTTCTGTGACTCCTCTGCCCATCCCACCCCTTCTAATCCTATCAGCAAACCCAAGGACTGAAAGGCCACTTCTTCTCTTTTCCCTGCCAGAGCCACACTGAAGAATGGGAGGAAAATCTGCTTGGACCTGAAAGCCCCACTGTACAAGAAAATAGTTAAGAAACGATTGGAGCATTAGCTACTAGCTGCCTAAGTGTGCACTTTCAATCTAACTGTGAAAGAATCTTCTGATGTTTGTATTATCCTTCTTATATTAAATTAACAAAATAAATGAGGTTCTGGTATAGTCAATCTATTCTTTAATAATACTGCAAAAAGTAATGCTTACACATCACAATTTTATATTTTAAAATTTTCAGAATTTTAAGCAAAAAGCATTATGAAGGAAGGTTTGGTTTAATACAGACTGATTTTGTTGGGTGTTGTATGTTAGCTGATACATGTTTGTTCATTTCTATGATTGCAGTACTTTATAGCTACATATTTACCTTTTTTGTTACAATTAGCTTGCCAATAAATATTAGTAGCACTTAAGCATTAATTCCTTAACAATGGAGATATTAAGATTGTGGAAGCTAGGAGAAGTATGAGGTAATATTTTCATTCATCCTTTAGGAAGGCATTGCTCTATTTTGGGGAGAACTGAAGGTGATGTAATGTGGGCATATTAGTTTTCTGTTGCTTCTGCAACAAATTACCACAAACTCGGTGGTTTAACCAACACCATTTTATTAGCTTGTAGTTCTAGAGGTCTCAAGTCCAAAGTAAGTCTTAAAAGTTAAACTCAACGTGTCCTCAGAACTCTATTCCTTCTGAAGGCTCTAGAAGAGAATCTACTTCCTTTTCTTTTTCACCTGTACTTCTTGCCTCACAGCCCCTCCCCCAATATTCAACCTGCATCACTCCAACTTCTGCTTCTCCTCTGTCTCTGCTGACTCTTCTACCTTTTATATCCTGCTTACCTCTCATAAGGAGGCTTGTGACTACATTGGGCCCACTTGAATAATTCAGAAACACTTTCCAACTCAAGATCTCTAATACATCTGCAAAGACATTTTTTTTTTTGCCATGTTAAGCAACATATACATAGTGTCCAGCAAATAGAACACAAGGATCTCAGGGTGGGGGCATTATTCAGCCTACCACCCCACCATGGACCAGAAGGCAGAAACTACTTGAGGCAGGAGAAAGCTACAGACCCTTGTTAATGAGCTAGTGCTGTTTTAACCTAATGTGACCATGTGTACAGGTAGGATAAGGTCTATGATAAAATACAGATGATACCATTCAATCTCTGTGGTGGGCTGGCAGGAAGGGAGGTACCTAGGATAACTAATTAAAGTAAACACAATTTATAGATACTTATGAATGTCATCTAAAATTTGCAAGTTAGTATTATTCCCATTATAGAGATGAGGTGACAGTCTTGGGAAGGACACAGCTTGTCACAGGCTGAGTAGATCATTCTGACTCCCAACTCCCTGCTCTTGCTTAGAGTATTGTGCTGTCTTTCACACAGGAAAGTGAAATGTGACTGATTCCATGAACTAGCTCTTGAAGGCGGAATAGGAATTTGTGAGGGGGACCATGGGAAGACTGCAACTGTCTCAAGATAAGTAGAAAGACACAAGATGATTAAGTCATTTGCATGTTTGAACAACGGTTCAGAGTTGTGCAGGGTTGGAGTATCTATGGGGAGAGAGAATGAACAATGGTCTCCAACTAGATTTTGCACATTTAGTGGTTTTTTTAAATCTCAGTATGCACTACTACCCAAATTCTATTTCCAAAACCCAAATACTTCATTTCCCCGAATAAAATATTCAAGGTCCAAAGTCCTTAGCCTGGCATCCAAGGCTGCATCATACTCACTTTTCTTCTGTGCCTTAGTTTTCACCTGTGTGAAATGAGGGCATTAAGTGTCTACTTTATGGATTGTCTTAAGGACTAAACAGATGATATATGCAAAATATTTGGCATAGTTCTTTATACACAGTCTGAGCTTAAAAATTAACAACTATTAATTGTATTATGGTATTATATTACTGGTGTCAATATTACTCTTAATGCACCATCCCAGTCAGTTTGGAGTGCTGAGTAAGAATTTTTTTGTTTTTTTTTTTTAGACAGAGTCTTGCTCTGTTTCCCTGACTGGAGTACAGTGGCATGATCTCAGCTCACTGCAATCTCTGCCTTCTAGGTTCAAGCAATTCTCATGTCTCAGCTTCTTGAGTAGCTGGGATAACAGGCAAGTGATATCACACTCAGCTAATTTTTGTATTTTTAGTAGAGATGGGTTTCATCTTATTGGCCAACCTGGTCTCAAACTCCTGGCCTCAAATGATCCACCTGCCTCAAACTCCTAAAGTTCTGGGATTACGGGCATGAGCCACTGTGCCCGGCTTGAGTAAGGAATTTAACAGATGGTGGATTTTTTTGGTAATAAGTAGCAAATAATAATAATAAAATTGCAGTAGCAATAAAAATTGTTCAAATCAAATACACTTTGAAGGGGAAATATTGGAAATGAGATGTGTGTGATGTGACTTTTTTTTCTAATTTCCCTTTTGTTGCCTGTCTCAAACAACATACTTAGCTGTATTTAATAATTTGTAGATTTGACTTTTAAAGGATCAAAAGACCAAAACACATTTTGTAAGGTCAAACTATGCTGGAATGCTGATGCCATATATATATAGGAAGCTTATTTGGCTCACAGTTCTGCAGGCTGTACAAGCATGGCACCAGCGTCTACTAAGCTTCTGATGACACCTCAGGAAGCTTTTACTCCTGGTGGAAAGTAAATGGGGAGCAGGTGTATGTGATGGATAATACTGAGTATCAACTTGATTGGATCAAAGGATACAAAGTATTGATTCTGGGTGTGTCTGTGAGGGTGTAGCCAAAGAAGATTAACATTTGAGTCAATTGGCTGGGAAAGGCAGACCCAGTCTTAATCTGGGTGGGCACAATCTAATCAGCTTCCAATGCAGCTAGAATATCAGCAGGCAAAAAAAAAAAAAAAAAAAAAAAAAGTAAAAAAAAGAGACTGGCCTCACCTCACAGCCTACATTTTCTCCCATGCTGGATGCCTCCTACCTTTAAATATTGGACACCAAGTTCTTCAGTTTTGGGACTCAGACTGACTCTCCTTGCTCCTCAGCTTTCAGACAGCCTATTGTGAGACCCTGTGATCATGTGAATTAAAACTTAATAAACTCCCCTGTAATACATATGTATTTATTTATGTGTATGTGTGTGTGTAAATACATATGTATATATGTGTGTGTGTGTATATATATATACATATATATGTGTATATTTCATTAGTTCTGTCCCTCTAGAGAACCCTGACTAATATAGCATGCCACATGGTGAGAGGAAGGGAACAAAAGAGAAGAAGGAGGTTCCAGATTCCTTTAAGTAGCCAGTTCTTCTGTGAACTGAATGAGAACTCATTAATTACCACGGGGAGGGAACCAAGTTGTGCATGAGAAATCTGCCCAAACACCTCCCATTAGGTTCCACGTTCAACACTGGGGATCACGTTTCAACATGAGATCTGGTGGGGACACACATCCAACTATATCAAGTTACTGCCTTTATCAGCATGGGAATGGGGAGAGGGCTTTGCTCCTGGGAAAATCCCAAGTGACACAGCAACTCCCTGTTGTTGTTTCAGCATTCATGGAGTGATAAAGATTCAACGTACTTAAACTCCCCTCTAGTTGGAGGTAGTCAGCATAAAACGTCCACAAATTAGGGACTTACCGCGTAGTCATGGCATCTATCAATAAAACAAAACCGTCAAAGGACATTTTGACCTTGTAAGTTATTCTGCATTTTTGTTATTATTGTTTTTTTCTTCTAATACCTTTGTGGTAAAATAATTTCCTCTGTAGTGCATAGAATATTAAAGATTCAGTTGTTTTCAAAGATATATTTATATTTTTCTCATTGCAAAAGACAATGCATGTTCACTATAACAGAAAACAGAGGAAAAAAAAAAACTATTTTTTAAAACCTGTAATTTCACCACTCAATCTTATTTTTCTTTTTGGAGATATTAGTCATTGGACACGATTATAAGTTGAAGTGCTAATTTTTAATTATCACTTACCTGTACACAATTATTAAGAAAACACTAATTATTTAAGCACATTGCAAGTAGTTAGGGAGTGTTCCTATTCCAATTTTACAAATAGGGAACCAAGTTCAGGATAATATAATTAGTTTTCTTTGGCTAGAGCATGAATAGCTAACCTATGTGATCTAGCATTCACTTATACATATATGTAGGACCTGTGCTTGTTATATTCACTGGTGTATATGTATGTGTGTGTAAATGTAGGTATATATTTCTACACATATGCATATATACAGACTCTCACACACAGAAAACAAGCTCATAATACAATACTTACATTTGCTTTGTGCTGTGTGTCCTCATGTATTCTATTCTATCCTACCATATTCCATTTCTTAAAAGATATTGGCCACACCTCTATAAAGTGATTTCATAACCTACTGATGTATCATGATGTGTAGCTTAAAAACACTTCTCCAGTTCTTTGATTAAAGAGTTAAGTTCTGACAGTCCATATTGGATTCCACGCTCCAGATAAAATGCTTGGAGAGCCAATAGGGGCAGGATACTGAAGCCCAGCTGGAAAGTTAAATCTCCTGTTCTATAGTCTTCCTTTAGTCTCAATCTCCATCCCTGACCTGGGGTTGGAGTCTTAAGGAAACCCATGAAAAACAGCTTCTGTTGTAAAGATGTCACACCAAAGAAGATGTTGTCTGGATTGCTGAGATTCTAGGTCATTTTCAGGTGGGACTACCATTTATATTCACTGCCCATCTGCTTCAGCCATGTATCTCCTAACTTGCTCCCAAATGCAAATTGAGTTAAGAATAGAAAACACATTGATTTCTAGGAGGACTTGGATGAAAGCATATTCACACTCAGTGGACTTAACTTGCTCTTACACAAAATTATTCTTGTCCTATGGGACTTTTCCTTATTATTCCTGTAGATGCTGGCATTATCCCACTGGGCTTTTGAGTAAGACAGTTTGGGTTGCATCTCAGTTTTGACTACATGTGACCCTGGTTATCCTCAATTCCCTTGTCACAAAATGAGGACAATGAAGCCCACCACACAGGGATCTTAAAAGAATAAATTACCCTTATAATAGAACCCAACATGGGTTCTGACTCAGAACTGAAACCTAGTAAATAAATGTTTCCTTTCCTTTCCTTGGAGTTCGACTCTAAGAGCACATAACATTTCCAACAAAAGCCTCAATCCCTTTGGAAGACTACAGTGAACAAACCAGGACTTCCCCTGCACAGAACCACAACCCAAACTTGGGTGCAGACAGCCAGTTAAGAAAAAATTTAGCATGATAGACACAAGTAGTATTTTCCTGATAACAACTAAAAGAAAATTAAATAACAAAACCACAATGTTTGTCAGCCAGCCTATCTGTAAGATTATAAAATATACAGGACATCTAGTAATTGAGAGGCTGACTTAGCTATTTTTCCAGGAAAGAAAACACAAAAAATAAA